ATCTGAGCCCCAGTCAAGGGCGTCCCAGGAAGGGCATGGGGATCACTGGGGCCTGGGCACAGGCACAGGGAGCATAACAGTAAGGGCTGGCACTTCTCAGAGCCACAAAGCCGTGGGTGGAACAGCTGCAGCTGGACCCATGTCCTGTTGCAGGGATAAAGCTGCTGCCAGGAGGGAGCAAGTGGGGGTCAGGCAGGGGCTGCAGGTCAGAAGTGAGGGGTTCTGGCAGGTCTGTGGGTTGGGAGTAAGGGGCAAGGGCATTGGCAGGGCACCAGCATATCAGTGCTGCTAAGTGCCACAAAGTAGCTGTGGAGATGGCTGCAGCTGGACCAACATCCTGGTGAGTGAAGGGGGCAGGGGGAGCTCTGACTTTCTGTGATTAAAAAAACCAAAAGCAAACGCCAAGTATATAGATTTTTATAATTTATTTTATTATTATAATTGAGGCACCAGTAGGCTTCCAAATTGCTCTAAAATTGTAAATATATCAATAAAACATTGCCCAACTGATACCTATATATATATATATATTTGTGGTGTTTCATTTGAATCACAGACAAATGTGGATTTTGGGTATTTTAATCAGAGAATTTTGGATCCCCCCCCCCTTTTAAATCAGAGACTTTGCAGTTTTTAAACAGAAAACCAGGATCTCTGCTGGTGAGGCAAATGGCGGGACCCAGACAGAGGAGCCTGCCCTGGGCTGGCACCAGGGACCCAGATGGAGGGTGGATGAGGTGGCTGACCTCCTGGCCATTTGGGGCCAAAAAGACATACTTCGACAGTTCAAAGCAGGCCACCACAATGAGCACATCTTCCAGGCGATAGCTGCCCAGATGGCAGAATGTGGGCACCAGAAAACATGACAATGGCCAACTGTGCAGCCACAGCCCACTGGCAGCTGGCCCACATGTGCAGGGGTCTCTGTTGCAGTTACCATAGTGTCATAGTTGTTAGAGGCTGGAGGGGACCTTACAGATCATCGAGCCCAGCCCCCCTGCACATGGGCAGGAAAGACTGCTAGGATCAAATGATCCCAGTGAGATGGGCCTCAAGACATTTTTTGAAGATCACCAGGGTGGATGACTGTACCACTTCTGGGGGAAACCGGTTCCAAACTCTCGGCACTGGCCTTGTAAGTTATACACATTCCGACACCCACACATACCCCACACCCACCCACAAACCCGACAGACTCTCAAACCCCACATCCCCACACAAATCTCACACCCTGCATTGGGATGGGACCTGCTGGTGAGCACTGCAGCCATGCAGGCAGCTGCCGCTCTGCAGTCCTGCCCCGCAGCCACACCAGTGCTGGGACATGTAGCCCTGGCCTGGGGGGGATTCCTGGTCCTGGTAAACACTTGAGGGGTGTGATGGGCCTGGTGGGGAGGGGGGAGGGAGTATCAGGAGTGGGTGATGGATGGTGGGGGATTAAGGTTGCAGTGGGGTCTATGGTGATGGGGAGAGGGAGAGAGATGCATTGAGGGTGGGGGGATGCTCTGGATAGGAGTGGCTGCCAAAGCCAGGTTTGGAGCCCACCTGCAACTCCTAGAACAGCCTGTGCAAGGGGAGGCCAGCCTGGAAAGGAAGGAGCTTGCCCAGCCAATCTGAGCCCCAGTCAAGGGCTTCCCAGGAAGGGCATGGGGATCACTGGGGCCTGGGCACAGGCACAGGGAGCAGAACAGTAAGGGCTGGCACTTCTCAGAGCCACAAAGCCGCGGGTGGAACAGCTGCAGCTGGACCCATGTCCTGTTGCAGGGATAAAGCTGCTGCCAGGAGGGAGCAAGTGGGGGTCAGGCAGGGGCTGCAGGTCAGAAGTGAGGGGTTCTGGCAGGTCTGTGGGTTGGGAGTAAGGGGCAAGGGCATTGGCAGGGCACCAGCATATCAGTGCTGCTAAGTGCCACAAAGTAGCTGTGGAGATGGCTGCAGCTGGACCAACATCCTGGTGAGTGAAGGGGGCAGGGGGAGCTCTGACTTTCTGTGATTAAAAAAACCAAAAGCAAACGCCAAGTATATAGATTTTTATAATTTATTTTATTATTATAATTGAGGCACCAGTAGGCTTCCAAATTGCTCTAAAATTGTAAATATATCAATAAAACATTGCCCAACTGATACCTATATATATATATATATTTGTGGTGTTTCATTTGAATCACAGACAAATGTGGATTTTGGGTATTTTAATCAGAGAATTTTGGATCCCCCCCCCCTTTTAAATCAGAGACTTTGCAGTTTTTAAACAGAAAACCAGGATCTCTGCTGGTGAGGCAAATGGCGGGACCCAGACAGAGGAGCCTGCCCTGGGCTGGCACCAGGGACCCAGATGGAGGGTGGATGAGGTGGCTGACCTCCTGGCCATTTGGGGCCAAAAAGACATACTTCGACAGTTCAAAGCAGGCCACCACAATGAGCACATCTTCCAGGCGATAGCTGCCCAGATGGCAGAATGTGGGCACCAGAAAACATGACAATGGCCAACTGTGCAGCCACAGCCCACTGGCAGCTGGCCCACATGTGCAGGGGTCTCTGTTGCAGTTACCATAGTGTCATAGTTGTTAGAGGCTGGAGGGGACCTTACAGATCATCGAGCCCAGCCCCCCTGCACATGGGCAGGAAAGACTGCTAGGATCAAATGATCCCAGTGAGATGGGCCTCAAGACATTTTTTGAAGATCACCAGGGTGGATGACTGTACCACTTCTGGGGGAAACCGGTTCCAAACTCTCGGCACTGGCCTTGTAAGTTTTTCCTTATGTCTAGCCAGGAGCAATCTTCAATCAGCTTGTGCCCATTAGTTCTTGTCCTCCCCTGGGGGGCCTTGGTGAAGGTGGTCACTGTCTGGGTCTGGTGGGCATGCAGCCATGGGGCTGCAGGTCCAAGGAGACCGATGCTGTTGCAAGTGGCAGCAGGTCACAGCCAGGCAGCAGCCCCCACTGCTAGACTGCTGCAGTAGGCAGAGGGTGCAGGGGCTACTCTAGGTCAGGGTGGCTGCAGCAGTCCAGCTGGCACAGGGGGCTAGTGTCCCCAGATACAAACTGGCCAGGCCTCAGAAGCTCCTTAGGGCAAGTAGCCTTGAGCTGCTTTCCAGGGCAGCTTTTTATACTGCTGGGGACAGCACAGGTGCTTGCACCAGCTTCTAGCTCTCCCTGGCTGAAGATCCAGATGGAGCTGGGGGAAGGGGGCAGTTTCCCTCAGGCAGCACAATTTGCTTCACACCAAAGTGCATGTTCAGGCACATGTGCTGAGACACAAATCTTTGGCACAAATTTGTGCTGCTGCTACTTGAGCTACTGCAAGCACACACATGTGCATGTGTGGATGTGCCATAACTATCTGTCATTTTCTGGGTTCCCAACATGACATACCTGTGTCCAGACTTGCAGAAATATTGACCACTTACAGGTATACTTGACATGCTTGGGAGCTGTACTTTAAAGGTATGAAGTGCTGTGAAATGCTAAGCATGCTGGAAAATCCAGGTAATCAATGACCTGGAAGATAGCATAGAGTGCTCCATCAGCAAGTTTGCAGATGACCCCAAGCTGGGGGGAGTAGCAGATACGCTGGAGGGTAGGGCTAGGAATCAGAGTGACCTTGATGAATTGGAGAATTGGGCCAAAAGGAATCTCATGAGGTTCAATAAGGACAAGTGCAAAGTCCTGCACTTAGGACAGAACAATCTGAACAAAAGGACCTGGGGGTTACAGTGAACAATAAGCTGAACATGAGGCAGCAGTGTGCCCTCGTTGCAAAGAAAGCTAACAGCACACTGGGGTGCGTTGGTAGGTGTGTTGCCAGCAGGTCAAGGGAAGTGATTATTCCCCTCTATTTTGCACTGGTGAGATCACATCTAAGTACTGTGTTCAGTTTTGGGCCCCATGCTGTAGAAAGGATATGGCCAAATTGGAGAGAATACAGTGGAGGGCAACAAAAATGGTTCAGGGGCTGGGGAGCTTGACTTATGTGGAAAGACTGAGGGAACTGGGCTTATTTAGTCTAGAGAAGAGAAGACTGAGAGTGGATTTAATAGCAGCCTTCAATTACCTGAAGTGGGGGGTTTGTATGATTTCTAATTTTCTATGATTCTACGATTAAGGATCTCAAGCTGGCAACCAAAAATTAGAAAACACTTTGAACAATTTGACCTTTTGTGCCCATGTTTCAGATCCTCATTTGTAAAATGGTGTAATAATACTGCTTTATCTCACAGGAGCACTCTGAAGATAAATTAATACTTTTGAAGCACTCAGAAATTATTAGGAGAATATGATAGAAGTGCCCCAGAGGAAATTAATAATTCTGTATTCACTGTAGTGTTGGCTGGTGTGCATTAAGTAAGTTCTGAGGCCATATGGAATGATAGGGATAAAAAGAAATATTGAATAATTAACTATCCATTTACTGACAGAAGCAAAGAGAGACAGAGAGAGAGATTAGGGAAAAAAAAGCAAAGTGATTGTATAATTAAGGATGGCTTATAAACAAGACGAAAGAGTTAGTGGCATGGATACTTTTAATTCTGGTATTTACTAACTTTTGAGTTAGACTTAGCAACCATAATGTTACTTTAACGTAATTCATGGATATTTATAATACATTTATGTAGTACACGCACGCACGCACGCATATATATAAAATAAGTACACTCTGTGTGTGTGTGTGTGTGTGTGTATCTAGCATATACATATGTACAGGAGAACCCACGTACACTGAAGGGTGAGGTTCATAACCCCTTTGCAAAGAGGAGATTTTGCTGGGGCCTAGAGTCCTGAGACCTAGTCACAGCAAACAGCCACACAGGACCACCGAGAAGCTCTAGTTGATTCCTGCAGCTTTTGCTCACTTTGACCACTTCTGATTAGCTGTCACTGGCAACCAGTGCTGACCTCCAGCTGAGTGATGAAGGAGCACCCTTTGAAGTAAAAACTGGAGCAGACAGCTGAGTGGCTTGTTCTTTATTTGGTAACTTAGTGTGAACTAAGTGGCTTGGGGATACAAATGATCTGGGTTCTAACCGTAATGTGTATGTGTAGTATAAACCTATGTACTATCTGTGGCACATACATCTGTGGACAAATATATAGGTAACGTACATAACAGTAATCATCCGAAACATTGCAGTGTCACTATTATAATATTTTCTTTTAGATCCTTCCTATCCAACCAGGACCACTAAACTTTTGGGAATGTTTTCTTCTGCTGCAGATCCCCCTATAGGAGAAAAGACTGAGTACTTTCCCTCACTGCATCCTGCTTCCCACTCTCTTTTTCCATAGACTTTTCTGCAGGGTCATTCTAATGTAGATCTTGAACTAAACTTAGCTCAACCCCCACCAGCTCCATCCATTTTTAGATAAAATATCCACAAATCACTACTTTAAAAATGTTTGGGATGTGAGAAACCCCAAATGTTGTTGCGATTCAAATGGTGGTCTGTCATCTTGGATTAGTTGTAATAGTATTTTGCTATCAGTGAAGGGTTGGTAAAAGTTACCTGATTAAATGAACTGTTTTTTCTGTTTGCAGATCAAGTATTCCATCATGCACCCAGGGACTCATGTCTGGCCTCATACGGGACCTACTAACTGTAGGTTGAGGATGCACTTGGGCTTGGTAATACCAAAAGAAGGCTGCAAAATTCGATGTGCTCAGGAAAACAGGTATCCTTTTCTATTCGCACCCCAAGACTGAAAATGGGTGGGTAGCTGATCTGATCCACAAGAAAAAAGACAATTCTGATGTCAGTAAATTACTGCTAAAGGAGAATAAAATACTACATGTTTAATCATGGCACATATTAGATATTGTAATTGTAGTAATTGTAATATGTCACCTAGATATTTAGTTATAATAAGCACTTTGATGTGTAAAACTTCTTACAAGTATATGAATTTCAGTTTTTAATTAATGACACAACAGTCTTTGGAGACAGACGTGGTCTTCTCTGTCATGATCACTGTATTTATCTTCTTAGTAATGCTGTCTATAGCCTTGAAGTCTTTTGAGCTTAGTCTTAGAAACACATTCCATTGATAGAGTGATGTTCACCACTTGCAAGCAACAGTATTTCCACTGTTCCCTTTCTTCTCTTGGGAGATCAGCCAACTTAATCAGTAAAATCTAGACTCATAGCAGCAATTCTGCTTCCTATACTGTGGATGTAGAATAGCCAAGTTTTCCCACATAGATTAGATCTTCCAGTGGTATACATCAACATTATTCCATTGGCTTCATTTCAAGTCAAACATGTTGCTTTGTAAGTGGACAATGGTACCAAGGATTCTTAATTTTAACATTGCATTTGAAAAAGGAAAACTTCTTTACATTAGGAATGGTTACATTACACTGCAGATGTAGTTGGCCTCTTAGGTCAGTTTAAAAAATAGTCATTTAAAGACATTTAAACTCAAGGAATATATTCCCTTGAGAACTATGTGAAAGCATAAACTTCTGTAATTTAACACATGTAGATAGACTAGTATTAAAGCAACAGCAGTACAAAATTAATAAAAAATGAATGTATAAAGTTAAGCATCATAAACATTAAAAACGATATTGTCTGTATAAAGTTAAGCAATTTGATCAATTTGTTTGAAAATGTTTGCTGTTCATTGAATAGATTTTTCTCTTCTGAGTCCAAAACATCACCTGGAATCCTAATAGTTTTTAATGTTTATGATGAGTCAGAGATGCTATATCCTGCTTATAGCATCAGAGTGCAGCAAAGGTTAATTTGGAATTCTTCTCAAAGTACTATTATGGAGACATGTTTGATGATGAAAAATCTATGCATCCATCATCACTCTAGTATGTAACTGAGAGCTTTCTAGAGCATCTGAAAACCAAACACAGCAGGTAATTTGTGGCAATTTAAGGACAAGAGTTTCCATCCATTAATAATCTAGCTGTTGTTGCTGCAGAGGTGTTGGGACTCCTGCCATGATGTACCTTATTTAAATATTGTGCATCAGCAGTCAGCATTACAGCTAACAACATACACCTTGACTAATCACTGATGAACACATTTCTTCCCAGCACTCTAGCTCAGTATCTGAAGCAGTTTGGGGCTGCAGGAAGTGGTAGTTAGATGGTTTAGAGGGTTGTTAATGAGACATGGAGGATTTCACATCTTGGAAGCTTAGGGGTCACTCATGAATTCAGGTCAGCTATGATTGCAAGTCATTACCATCAAGTGGCTATTAGATGACCCTGCAGGAAAGAAAGCCATAGTCTTGCTCAAGTTCCAAGTGAACAGGTGTGTGAGACTTACCATCCATTATCAGAGCTAACATCCTTATTTGTCTTCAGCTGAGCATAAGGCTCAGTGGTGTGGAGAATGAACTACCTTCTCACCTATAGCAGTGCTTCTTCCACATCAGATGCTTGTCAGGATGGCATAAGGATGCTTATATTGCTCCTGCTGGGCAGATAGAGCATTTCCGTGCCTGGGACTCTTGAGTTTGGCTTATTCCATATGCACAACATGCATTTATTAAAAAAGTAGAATTTATGCATAATGATCCAACTTATTCCTCACTGGCATGTACAACTCCAGTTTCCTTTGGCAGGGGTTGTGCATTTATAACCAAAGGCAGGATTTTTCCTAAGAAAATATTTTTAGTGGTAAAAATGAAGGGTTACACATAACTGTTCCCTCCTTCCCTGTGAAAGGGAGACCTCTCGGTGGTTACCATGGTGACAATTCAGGCAAGGAATTCTGGGTCTCAGACGTGTATGATTCTGCCCCTCTGCCTCTTCCCTTGCTGTTTCAGATGAATAAGAAATTATTGCTGCCTCCTGTTGAACTGGCTCAGCTCTGGAGGCTTCCATGTTGGAGATCAAAGCTTTGACTCTATCTCTCCCTACGCCCTCCTCCCCCTGCTTGTGAGGTGTGTGGGGGGAAATAATGAGAACATAGTACTCATTTACCCATATGCACCCAGAGGTAGGGTGGGAATTTAAAGGTGCAGGTTTTATTATCCACTATACTATTTGCAGTGCAGCGCAGCTGGCCATCTAGCTCTATAGAAAGAAAATTGTCAGTGCTGCTTCTTTTTTTTTCAATCCTAGTGTATAGCAATCAAGTCTTGTTGAACAATTTGGGCCATTGTTATCCACAAGTGCCCAACCTTTTTGTAATTGCAAAAGCAGTAGTAGACAGCATGCTGAGTGATGGTGTTAAATAATGACTGAACATCCAATAAAATGACCTTATTTCAAAGACTGCAATAGTGATTTGTAATAGAGGGGGGGAGAAATGTTTCAGTTTTTTCAAGTCAAGGTGAAACCTTCTCATGTAAAACAGGTGTGTACAGCTCCTTCCATCATGAAAATGATATAGAAATCTTTCAAAAACAGGCTCTACTTCATGCCAGAATGAGATTTCCACCTTGGTCAGGATGTTAAGATTTTCTCACACAATAAGGCGTCTGAGAAATATTTATTTGCATTCCAATGGTAGGTTGTGTAATCGATCCAAAGGGAAGATAATAGCTCTGACAACTTTATGATTTTTTTCTTTTTGTTGTGTAAAACAGTCCATCCAATTGTGATGCAAATGAGAGAACCCCATTTTAACCTCTGAAGGCATTTAATCTGGATGCTTTGAGGTTTTATTGTCCCGAGCTGAGCTTCTATTTCAGGCTAATTAGTGGAGTGCATTCAGACCTGGGTCAAAAAAATAAAAGCACACTGTTGGCCTTATTCCTCATTCCATTATATCAGTGTGCGATGTCTTTTGAATTTCATTGGAAAACTGATGGAAAATGATTGCACTAGTGGAGAATCAGTCTATATTACTTAAAATGTGAACCTACATTTATCTTGGAGATAGCAGCAAAATAAAGAATGGCAAACAAAATACTTGAAACCTTGCAAAGGTTCATTTTCAAATGGATCAGTCTGCCTGGGGAATCTTAAAGAGCTGTATCTGTGTTTGCAGATCAAGTAGTACATCATGCACCCATGGACTCCTGTCCTCATACAGTCCAAAGTCTATCTGCCAACCACTGCATTATGCCTACTGATTTGTCTGGTCTTGCTCAAAATATGACCCCCAACGATTTTTCTGCCATTGCATTTTGGAAGAATATTATTCCACTTTCTGGAGAGTCTGGTAGTAAACCATTTTTTCTGATGCTGGTAAAAGTTTTCAAAAATGCCTAAGTGACTTAGGAGTCGAAGTCCCATTTTCCAAAGGATTTTAGGCATCATTTGTACTAGAAAAAAAGTTGTTTTTTTCCTAATGAATTTGCTCTATTTAAGCCTGTTAGTTTGTAATCAGACTTCTCTTAAATATTCCCTTTGTGTAATCCTAAGTAACATGTCTTATGTTTATACCTTATTTCTCTATCAATACTAGTGTTTACAATACCTCATTCTGCTCCTGAGAGTTAAGGCCCCAGCCCTGCTGAAGCGATCTATCCTTATGGACCATAGCATTCATGCAGCAGCCTTGTCCACTTTGCAGTATTGTGACTTTAATTATTAGGCTCTTAAATAGCTATTCAAGATCGTTAGTGAAGATGTTCAATAGAACTGAAACTAACACTTACCCTTCCAGCCAATTAGATACCTCTGCCTCTGACACATTGTCTCTCACCATTGTCATTTAAGTCGTTTTCTTCCACTAGTTATCAAAGTATGTGATTGCTCATATACAGGCCAGTCTCAGTGACCTGTGGACTGGATTAAAATCAACTCAGTAAGCAGTTAGACACTCCCATAGGAAAAGGGAGTCCTGTATTCAGGGCTTAATCTTATAATTTTATAATCTTATAATCTTATAATTCTTCCTTTTTTGCATGGGGGTGTTATTAAACTATGCTGCTGACAACTTTTCACAGTTTCATTGTTTTCTACTTAGGTACATAATTTTAAAAGGGGAGGAAATTGGTTCATAATACCCAAATTATTCAGAGTGCCTCTGTGGCAGGGCACTGTTGGTCCCTGCCACTTTAAGGGCTGAGCCAAGCAGCCAGCAGGTGGTTGATTTTGGTGGCCATTTTAGATCTCTGGCCGCCTATATAAACAGAGCAGTTCGCTGTTGGCAGTCAGGCAGTAACATCACCTGGCTGCAAGGTGATGCAGATTGGTGTATGCAGTATACACCAATGCAATATCCTGGAGGTAAGGGCAGGATCTGTAGGGGATGGTTTGGAGGCTCCTGGTCTTGGGCATGACCTAAAACTGCACCCTGCCAGGAGTAGGTGGCCTGGTGGGTCTTCCAGTGGCGCAGGAGCCTCCAGGAAATACCAGGCCAGTGACCACCCCAGTGAAAGGCAGGTTGGGGTGCCTTAATAATCCTAGCTCCCACAACTGGGCAGGTTACACTTAGTACAGCCAAGAAGGTGGACCCAGGAGAGAGAGTGGGCTAGAGGCTCAGAGGCCTGACTCAAAACACCCACAACTGGTCAGTGCTGAGGCCAGGACCAAAACGGTCAAAAGGGCCAGGGGCCCACCATGGGGGATGCCCAGAGCTGAGGGCCTGGGGTTTCTGACTGGCCTTGGAGGTGAGGCCAGGGCCTGTGTGGCCAAAGGTCCTGGGGGGACCACTCCCGAGAGAGGAAAGAGTTCAGGGAGCCAGGCAGCCCAGAATGAGGGCGGAGTTAGGCCACCTGATTGGAGGGATCTGGTTGGGGTCCAGATTGGAGGATTCTGGGGCCCACTGTGGGGCCAGTGACGTTAACATCTGTGGATGCCATCTGTGAGGCTTGGGCTGCGGTGTAGGGGAGGAACAGAGCCACAGATAGCGCCCCCTGGCATCAGGGCAAGAAATGGGCAGCCTCCCGCTTATCTAAGATCTTAATTATAGATCATCAAGGTATGGCAGGAAAGGAGGTAGGCAGTTGGCCCAGAAACAGGTGGGCAGGCCATTTGTAGACTGCCCCTGAGGAAACCCCGTGTTACAGCCTCCTATGCACAGATACTAAATACATAAAAATAACAGACAGTATGTATGCATGCATGCACATTGAGAGAATAAGTATTGTTACTCAGTAATATGAAGCTGCATCAGACTGAACATTTTATAGATGGTTTCATGCAGAGCTGTAATACAGGACTCTAATCTCTCCTTAAGCACTATATTCCTGATGGCACAACACATGCTGATTAAACCTTCTCCATGTTTAGATCATCATCTCCAGGATAGATATATGCCCAGATAATTGCCACTCTAGGACACTCAAAATCCATACTAAAAGATGCTTTTTGCCCCATTACAGAACCTGGGAAGAAGGGAAGGTTCTCATCTTTGATGACTCTTTTGAACATGAAGTGTGGCAGGATGCAGAAGATTATCGGCTGATATTCATTGTGGACGTATGGCACCCTGAGTTAACACCACAACAGAGACGTAGCCTTCCTGCCATTTAAGCAGTGATTTCTCATGCAAAAACTACATCAATTTTAACCTTTTAGAGTATATACAGCGTTAATTTGCCTGGTACTAAGGCAAATGTCAGCCTTCTAATAGTTGAAAGATAAGAAGCAATTGCTTCACAATCATTGTGGACTCAGCTTTAAAAAATTCCTATTTCTATTTCATACTGATGCAGCACTGATCTGATCTTTTTGCTTTTAGGCTGCAGGTACAGAAATACTGATTCTTGTTAGCCAAAAAGATTTAGTTCTAGATTTTCAAAATGAAGAATATGCAGGCACATGTTCCATGCCAAAATTATGTGTACAGAAACTATTGCATGTTCATGTATATGCAGCCAGGCACCTCATTTGCCATGTTTATGCACAAGTATCTGGACTATATGTTTTTTACCTGATAATTAGGTGCATAAATATGTGCAACTAACCTTGAAAATCTATCGTACAGTTTTGAATAGTATATGTTTAAGGTATAAAGCAACTAGACACATCTAAAGTTGATACTATATGCAGGTAATGTGAATCAATAGGTTTGTTTTGTATTTTTCTACATGAGTAATTGTATTTTTCTAGCATAACTACACACGGATCACTTGCTTTTATGAACCACTATTTTTTTCAAAAGAACATGTATAATAAGTGCATCTCCAGCTATTAGCAGATGGAGGAACTTTTTTTGTCCAGACCTTATTTTTGCTATGTATGGCCTTCTTCTGCCTTCTGAAAATGCTTTTAGTAACTTACGTTATTTAATTTTTAGTTAATAGAGTATAAGACTGATAATGAGATCAGTTTTGTTTTCTGAAGTGAAATAGCCTCTCTTCAGTACAGTCCTGGGGTGATGGGCATTTGTGACAGTCACCTGTTGACTAAAATGAGAGTTGTCAGTGCTCAACAGTTTTCAGAGTCATATGGATATTAACTGTTATTCTCTGTCACATGAAATCCCTCTGCATCATGACAACCATCTTCTGTCCAGGAAGAGCAGGATGCAGCTCCTTCCAAGGACTCTTTTTGAGATTGACCTGACTGGCCTTTCTTCCAAATAAGAACCCAGATAGAATGGAAATAATGTTCCCTGAAGTAGAAGCAGAAGACCACGCTCTAATATAAATCTCTGATCCTGTGGGAATGAAAAGACCAAAAAAAAGTGCAATTGTTTAAAAAATGTATTAACTTAATTTTCAGTGTATTCTGCATTTGTTCTGTTTATTATGAGGTGAAAAGGCCTTATTTCCCAAAAGAATCTTGTGAGGTGTCATGGTAGGGAACTTACTCTTCTTCTTTGCACTGCCATACAGGGGAACACAGGGTCCTACACCTGCCATTAATATCTAGGAGTACTGAAAAGGTAAAATGGAAGAGGATGATCAAGATGAAGAATTTACTTCATGAATTTCATCAGGATTTTCTGTCCAGTCATCTGCAAGTACCAGTAAGCTGTTAAGACTGATGCAAGGGTGCTTAGATAGAATAGCAAGGCAAGGGAGCACTAGGGATTATCATAAGGCAGTACAAGATGATGTGCAGAAACATAGGCAATGTTATCCTCTTCCATTCTTGGCTTGGAAAGTGTTGTTAATATGCTAAACTTATGAATGTGTTATGTTACTAAGGTGTCTTACATTATGGTATCTAAGAACCACATGCCTATATTTCATATGCTGTACAATAGCCTAAAATAGCAACATTTATAAAATAACTGTGTATTTCCATAAATTAAGAGCCTTTCAAACTTTCTGTTTTATTAAATAGTTAGATCTTGTCATGCCATAAAACATAATGAAAAATGACTTGTGGCATGAATTGCATAACAATTGTTGGAGGTATGCACTATTTCCTTTTGCATTAGAAAAATCTGATTATCATGTTCTGATCCAGATTCAGTCCTGCCTGGATAGTTATGGTCCAAAAAAGCTTTTCTGTGTTCTCTAAATCAGAGAAGACAAAAAGAAGACAAAACAGTATAACCCATATCTATAAGGTGTTCACAGTACTCAGGCCAGTCATCAGTGGAACTTAATATAATTACGTTTGTTTCACATTTTGAAATGTAAAAATGCTTCTTTGAAAGGATTTGTTAGAATTATATATAAAAGCAGTTTAGATATGAGGTACTCATTATCACTGGGCATATCAATAGAAACCAGTCCATCTAACTATTTGAATGCTATATTTCATAATACAGTAAAAGGATCAAAAAAGACAAATGATGAAAATAATTTATAAAGGAGGCATCCAGAAGTGTTTATCTTGGAACCAAATATGTTTCCTTCAAAGAATATTTTTAATTGACTTTAAATTACATTGCAGTTTCCAGAGCTAAGAATTAATACCTATGTTCCAGTGAAGACGTAACAGTTTCTTAATTTTAATTTGAGAAAGCCCTTACCATCTTTTTCTTTTTCTTTTTCTTTTTTTTTTTGAGCTCAGAGTGTTCCATTACTGTTCATATAGTATTTCTCTTAATTTCCTCTGGAAGATGAAACCTTATCTTTTGAGATTATGATTAACAAATTGATTAAAGCCATCTAGCCAAAACATGGACACACAGGGGTATTGCTGCTCATTAAATAGTATATAGAAGCATAGCATGCATCTAAAACCTGACGGGCTCCTTCAGCCCTGACTCCATTCCATGCTTTAGGGGCTTCTGTTTGATGGGGCTATTGGAATAGCTTCATACATAAAAGGCATGTGCAGGAACCATTAAAAATTGTACTGTGAATAAATGCTGCACCATTTTCAGGCTTTCTGGATTGTAAACAGATACTTCAGCCTAATTCAGAGCCTTTCTGAACTGGAAAAGTCTACTGACCTGAAACAAATGAATAAATGAAAAGATCAAATGAAAATACTTTTATTCTAGTAACAGATATCTTCCTTAATGCTAGGGACAGAAGTTACACATAAACCAGTATAAGTGATTGAAAACCATAGATTCACAGATATTAGGGTCAGAAGGGATCTCAACAGATCGAGTCCAACCCCCTGCTCTGGGCAGGAAAGAGCG